TTTAGGTTCATGGAACCATCGGACAATGTGAGAAACCGAGAAAATCAGTCAAACAGCTGTCGAAATGAAGAGATACAACTCGGCATTACAGGAAATCAGAGCAACCCATTGAACCTAAGCTGAACAGTAAACGTTGGGTATGGGAGAGATCCTGATGTACTCCGACAAAGGAGAGGAAAACGCTCCATATACTCATGGAGTTGCTCTGATGCTCTTTTAAGAAGCGCGAAGTGCCCTCAAAAGATGGGAATCTCATGGGTTGAGGATCATCAAAGCATCACCGAAAACAAAGAAGGAGGGCATTTCAATGAATTTCATGCAATGTTATGCACCAACCAACGATAGCGATCACGAATATAAGGATCAGTCCTACTATAGGCCGCAATCGATCAGAGTGAAGTGTCGGAATTAACAATTTTGGGTATGAAGATATCATGGGATTACTAAGACTTGGAGAAGCAAACGAAAACGGTGACAGATTTGCAAATCCACGTGCATCAACAGAACGGTGGTATGTGGCATTACACAAAAGTCATAGGTACTTTACGTTCTTTTCAAGAAGATGAGGATGGAAGAACAAGCGCTGATGGAGTATGAAAAAGGACACCTCATTGTAATACCGAAGGAAGGCGATCTGAACAAAGTGCAGAACTACAGAGGCATCACACTACCTTCCGTACAAGAGAACGTTTTCAACACTGTTACACAGTCAGATGAAAGATTAAATAATTGCCCGTTATATGTTTAGCTTAGATTCTTAATATACAGCTTATAACTTGAATACTACAACCCTAGAAACCTCCAAGTCGCAAGTGAGAGAAATGCTTTTCCAAGCAGTGTCAATCATTGTACAAAACCACCAGAAATTTCTAGTTTTTGTGAAAACGAAATCATCATTGAAGTGATCCAATCAGCATACAGAGTGTTTTAGCGTTTGTTCAATAAGGAAGCTACACGTGGAGATTCTTCGGTTCTTTTTGAGATTCCTAGAGCTTCCTCAAGTTCACCAGTGTGCCGAACTCACGACGCTCATCTTCAACATCAACAGGCCAAATTCCGTAAGGACCAATCGTAAACTGATTAAGTTGAGACACTGCAGATCATCGTTGAACAATCAGTTGAGCGGGTCCCCTCACTATACTTCAACTTCCCTGACTGTGAGGAAGCGTTTTACTATAAAGACAGGAGAACATTATGGAAACTTCTTCGACATTATGGTTTATCTGAGAAAATCGTCAATATCATACAAAATCCACACTATGGACTACAGTGCACAGAAAACAGGTGACATATTCATTGCAAGTTAGCACTGCAGTCATACAAGGCTGCGCGCTTTCCAACTTCCTTGTCATCTGGTGGTTGGCTGACTTATGAAACCTCCACATCTGAGGGCAAACATGGAATACGATGGACAGACAATCCGAACTTTCAGGGTGACCTGGCCGTTCTATCCCATACACACGAGCAATGCAGGTCACGACAAACGATGTAGCAGAAGCCTGCTCATCAGCAGATCCTCAACTACAAAACAAAGTAACATTGTCTGAATTTTCCTTCCGAGCATACCATCAGCTAGTGACTCTCCGTCTGGCACTGCGGAATCGGGAGTAACTGTAGAACATTAGGGATTTGCTGGGCATTTACTAGGGATATATGGAACTCAGAACAACCGTCAGCCAATATCAAAGTCACAACCTTCAACACGAACGTCAAGACAGTCGTTCTGTACTTGGATAACTACTGCAACGACCATCGAAAAGGTACAATTACTTCTAAATAATTTTCTACGTAAGACAGTGAATATCCGCTGGTCAGATACCGTCAGCAACAACTTACTGTGGAAAAGAACGATACAACTCGCATCTAAGATGGAAATTAGGACAGGACGTTGAGAGCAGATAGGACACGCATTGAGTAATTCACTGAACGGCATCACGAAGCAAGCACAAACCTGGAATCCTGAAGGGAAACGTAAATATGAAAAAGCATAGGACATATTTCGATGTGGTGGTCGGTATTCGATAAAATCCTTAAACTTTGAATACAGTCCGTCTTCGTAACCAACACTAGATTACGTCTCAATGGTATATTATTCAGAAGGAGAATAAAAAGTGTTGATTAGGTTTATTATGGGACCAGACACAGATATCCAAAACCATAGGTGCGTTAAGCAAACATGGGACAATTGTGCCGAAAAGCAAGCAGGCAAATGAGTGAGCGAGCGAGTAAGCGAATACGAGTACGAATAAGCGAGTACAAATAAGCGAGTGCAATGAACATGAATAAAATGGACATATATATATATATACATAGTGAAATGAATGAATCATCGAATCAATTAAGCGGCTAATAGTAGGGCCAGCAGAGCGAATATATGCATAGGCAGTAAGCAATGCTGAAGCATACATGTTTATACATTCGCAACAATAATAAAGATGCAACGATACAGATAAGTTGTTGTTGTACGGATGACTCACTTCGTTAATAAGTTAACAAAATGACTTGATCGAATTAAATGTGAACAGACTCAATTGCACGTGAATTGCTATGGCGTCGAGAATTGAAATCACACATGAAATGGATGAATAGCTAGTGGAATGAAGTGGAAAGGATTGTCCAGGACAGAGTTGAATGCGGAATGCTGGTGGGGCAGACTATGATCCTCCACGAATGGTAACAGAAATATAAAAGTGTCATAATAATGAAATACGATGTCATAAATAGTTCATCAAATTAGAGATTTGGATTGTGTCTTTTCGAAGTTATAAACTTATTGATATTAGTTCTATTTAGTCACACCATTTCAAATTCACAGTGTACTTCACAAAATTAAACTCGTGTAAGGAAAGAACGATTTGCTATAGTTTCGTTAAGTACTGTATAATAGTTGGCGTAGCACTAGATTTTATAGCAAAACAGTATAAGTAGGACATTTTTAGCACGTGAAAGTTGATAAGAACGCAGTATCAAAAATAACTAATTTAAGACAACATTTATAATTAATTTTTTAGATCTCAATTGTGTCACACAAAGCAACTTGCTGTAACTGTATTCAGTCATAAGGATCTTCGAAGAAAAGAAACACGGAAGTTAGAAATAGCCGGTTAAGTTGGTTCCATTAACTGTGAGTCGTACATAAATTCCGGTCGAAAGAGAATAATATGTAACTACATCATTAAAATGTAGGACCTACCACATTAATAAGTTGTTAAGGAATGATTTCGTGATGGAAGCACCATAAACTATCAGTTAAATTTGTTTATGCATTTAGTGTTGTCCAACGTAGTAGTTATCGATTTTTTTCCACCTGATGTAGATTTCAAGCCGAAAGCCACTCATTATCACTTCTTTTCAAAAGTTTTGCAGTCACGAAAATTAGAAAACCCAACGTACCCTCACTAAATTATCCTGCACACAAATATACACGGTCTACTCCGCAGTATCTATACATAGGGTATCACAAGCATTGACTGACGACCATTCTTGTGCCGATTATTTGTAACCATGAATCCACGGAATTCCACTTTGACTTTACTGTATATGCATAGTGAATAATTTCTGAGGATAGCTAAGTGTGTGATAAGCCCATTGAGTGTGATGTACAAACAGTGAGACTCTCTCATATTTACGGGAAAGGAATGCCAGATTATACTTTTCAATTCCATTCCCAGGCAGACATCAGCATCAACATTCAATGCTGACCACATTAGTTTCAATGGACTCACATAGTTGAATGCTCTCGGAAATGCATGCACACTAGGTCACGAGTGAGAAAGCCGTACTCAACATCCCTTGCAATCGCAAGCCGGATTAGATCAGTCGACCACCATATATTGATAGCCTCTCAAGTATGCCTTAGATACTTCTCACATCTGACTTTTGATTTCACTTGGTGGGTACGATTCACAATTTAGAGTGTTACTGGATAAATTGATGTCAAACTCCGAATACCTGTGGTATTTTCACGTACATATCTGCAACCGAACAAATATTTACCTCTTCCCATTACCACTGTTTCTTTAGTTACTCTGCTATTAACAATTAATAAGCGAAAATAACTACAAGAAAAGTGTAGTATCACAGTCGTCAGATGTATGGTGAGTTGTAGTAGAAGAACCCACTCAAGGTGTATCAATGCATAAAATTGCCAACAATATACCAAAAAGAATACTTACACTATAAACAGCTGCGATTGTTTATGGACAAAACAAAGCAGTAACACATAGCACTCGCAACAGAGTTGTATGATAAAAACGTGTTATCAACTACAAACGAGTTCATTTAATTAACAAACGTTCCTCTGCACATGATGGCACTGGTGGCGTGATGTGAAAGAGAATTCCTTTGACTCCATTGAATAATAATCGTTGCCGAAACTCCGACGCGGTACATAATCGGGGTTATAATGCCAAACGTAGGAAATGACGAAAACGGTCGAATGAATCTGTGTTTAATCATTAGGGTGGACAGGTCAATGTGTACTTCCACACTGTCATGGCAATATTCCGTTTTAGGCAGTTGAAATTTTAATATTTAGCAAACCTTCCGATTGAGTATGAAGATGCCACAGGTATTCGTAGTTTGACAACGCTTTAACCAGTTACACCTTCTAATATGAAGCGTACCCACCAAGTGAAATCAAAAGAGGAGGTTCGAAGATATATCTGAGAGACTGTCAATATATCGTGAATCGTCTGATCTAATCTGGCTAGCGATTGCAAGGGATGTTGAGCACGGCATTCTCACTCGTGATCTGGTGTGGATGCATTTCCGAGCGCCTTCAGCTATGTGAGTCCATTGAAACTAATGTGATCAGCATTGAATGTTGAAAACTTACAGAGTTATTTATTTTAGGAATTTATTTACCGCTACAGATCTCTCCCCGCTTATTGTGATGACTAGTGGTATGACTTTCTAATTTCGACTACTTATAACTGCATGGAATGTTTTGTACATTATGCAGCTTGTGTTTAGTCGCTTCAACTACATATTAACTCACATACACACCCGTTAGAATTTCGCGCACGTTTATGATCATTAATAATTAGCAGATGATACTGCTTTGATCGGTGTTCCTATCAGTCTTTATTTTATCTATCAATGTTAGGAAAGCAAATAGAAAATGCAATTGAGACTGAGTTGAAGTGTCGCTTGTTCTGTACTTCAATATCAATTGCTTCGAAAAAGTTAGAGGAAATAGAGTCAGGAAACACTTTGTCAGAGAACAATTCAATTCCTCTTAATTCACCATGCAAGTTCTTGAACATTATTTTGTGTACTTTACATGATATTCCCTGACTGTTATGAGGATAAGCTTTTGTGAATATAAAACTCACCCCAATAACACACACGTTACCAAACAGTACTGTTTGACTCTCCAGCTTGGTGAATAGTGGTGTGGTAAGAGTGACTGAATGTCTTTAATTTTCACCTGTGTGACCATAAATAGTCTAATAATATGATTTTTCTATCAGTATTAGGTAAATATTACCGTCACTTTACTACTAATAGTATCCAAGTCTGGATACTCAAAGTCGATGAATAATGTAGCAATGATTACTCAGGTTTCCCATCACGTTCTGATCTGTGAAATATAAAATAGCTCCTCAGTCATTTGCTTCGGTAGGCCTTGAAAAACTAATAATCTTTAAGTATTTCAACAACCAACCATTTTTGTATGGTATTAGTTGGGATGAACCACTATCCAAACATTTCAGTTGATCGTTGGTTTGAGATTCCCGACTTTATGAAAAATACTCGGATGAGTAGTCGTTGTGACAAATATTTTCATGATATATCGCAGTATGTTGCTGAATACTAGCAAGAAATTGGTTATCATCAGTTTTTAGCCGTTTGGAAATAAAAAGAGTAAAAGCCAGTTAATCATCATCAACGTAGAATCTGGTAGAAATTCTCATTACCCCGAAATACCGTAACGCGTCTGCAAGCTCAGATGAAATTAACAAGTTGTGAAACAGGAGAGACTGGAACAATATAATAGCACTACCACTGGATCAAAGTCCTGAGAATGTCGATCCGACGTGACGAAAGGTCGTATTAACTCTATATGTGCCATTATAGCAACGATGGACCTTCAGTCAGGATAGTTGGTTGGTGGACCTGTGTTTATTCTTGCAGCCTATTTTCCAGTGAAGATCTAGCTTCCCCTTGAAAATGTTCACTGATGAGACTGATGCCATTTGTTTGGGTAAGACGTCTTCATGATCCAGTCGATCATCATAGTATAGAGCTAGGCTGCTAATTTTCTGTAGACTAAACAACAAACAGTCGATATTCTTTTGGTTTCAAGCGTGAAATCGGTCTTTTTCTACTTGAACAAGAAATACATGGTATTTATGCTTGTTTGAGTTTGATGACGATTTTACTTTGAGTTGTTTTACAACTAGTCAACCTATTCCACTATTTGTGCAACTACGATTGTACACTTTATTTACTTTTACTAACATCAGAGCCATTGAAATGTTAGGAATCTTGAGTAGTTTAATAGACCCTGAAGTTAAAATGGTGATGCACTTAGAATCGCTTCCTGAAGAATAGAGTTTTATTGCTTGAACTCAGTACGTTAAAGTATTCTGAAAGAATAATTGTAATTAGACTACATTTCTAATGTTACTGGCTTGTATTATCAACTCTAAGATTAGTATGATAGCTAGAAGTGGAACAGCCATAATTTTGTACTTCAAGGTTCATTAGGTACGGGGATTCCTTAAATTTGCTGTTAAACAAAACACTGTCAAATTTTTACTCTTACCGTAATCAACTCTTGTTCCCGAAACCTGAAGTTTGCTACCTATTTTCTCACTAAATATACGGGTCTTGATCAATTCATTTTGAAACATATTAAAGCTTTTGTGTTAAGCTAATTAGCTTCCACTAAGATTTTATTAAACTATATAGCGTATCTCGCCAAAACAAATTTCTTTACCTTTTCTAACCAGTCTATGTAACTCATTCTTCATAATCTATTCCGAACAAAATAGAATCAGTTCATATATTAAGAAGATAAACCCTCTCTGAAAAGATTTCTCTCCGAAATGCTTGACTCTGTTACTATGATCAATAATACGTAAATGGAACTTAACCGTGCTATTAGTTAACTTCTATATCTAATGTGCGACCATTCTGCTTACGTCAGTTAGTGACTTGTAATCGATTATTCCATTAGAAGAAATCTCAGGTTTATGTTGTGTGATAGGTTGGTAAAAATTCTACAATAACACATCACTTTGTATCGTAAAACCGTTACTAAGACCGTTAGTGACATATTCGTACGCAGAGCGGAAATGTTTGGCAATTTGAAAAGTACGCTTGGGATTTTGTATGAGTTGTTTCCTGAGTTTGGGACTCCTGACTCTTGAAGTCAGATAGTTGCGAGGTTGAGTACGGAGTTATTTATCGAGACTGTACTAATAAGCCTGTGTTTGAAGCTTTGGTATAAAACCTCTTATTGTCTAGTTCAGAGCATGAGGTAGTTTGCTGAACTGTGTGATTTCTTGTCAGTTGTAAACAATTTTTCAGTAGTCTTGGTTTGTTGAAAAAGCAAGAATTTATCTTTGTATTCACTCAGTATTCTCTAATGGATCATAGGCTTCTCTATCAATGGAATTTATAAATGGGCTAAAATGTTGTCTTCTTTGGAATTAGGGTAAATTCCAAGCCTTGAAACAGTTCAGGTAGTCTTCCAATCCCAAAGGTAACGCTACAATAGGTAACTTCCCAATATTTTTAGAAACCAGGTTATCCGCGACTCCAGATGTGAAATATGAATAGGCTAACGAATTGCTATTTATTCCATATAAGCTTGAGCTTCAATAAGACCCAATCAAGAAGTTGAATTTAAAATGTTCTAAAGGAGATCGTAATTTTTTATTATAACAGATTAACACAACGTTAAGCATTTATTCACACTGTGTTAACTATTCACCTAAGTACAAATAAATATTTTTAGGCGTTTAGAATACTTGTCTGAAATTAAGTCCTTTTATTATTTCAGGTGGTAATATAGATACTGATTTTTAAAGGTAATTATGTTAGCAACTATCTTGCAGTCTACAGGTCCTCCTCTCAAATGAGTGTAGTGTCGGTAAATAAAAATTTAAAATTCACTAAGTTTTGAAAAATGGTAATTACTGTAGTTTCATATAAAATAATGTGTTTGTAATATCCCAATGAGTAGAAAAAATTAGATTTTCTGACGTTTCGTGATTCAGTGTAGGTCACTTCTTCAGAGAGTAAATAGCCAAATCAAAATTAATCCAAGTTTAAATAGTTGTTCCTCTGTACCATTTAAACTTGGATTAATTTTGACTTGATTACTTACTCTCTGAAGTAATGGCTTACACTGAGATTCGAAACTTCAGAAAATCTACTCATTTGGATATCACAAATATTTTAATAGTTGAGATCGTGATTTAACTGGAGCTAGACCACCATGGAAAACGTGGAAGCACTGAACGGCCGTTTCGTCCTATTATGGCACTTCTTAACAGTGCGCATCCACAATCCCACGTCGCAAGACTCGAACACAGGAACGATCGGTCTCGCGCTTGAACGCTCAACCTCTACACCACTGAGCCGGCATCCAACGGTGTTAATGTCTAACTTCAACTAATCCACGAAATTGAGCGATACATCCACCGCAGATGAGTCCCATAATAGGAAGAAACGGCCGGCCAGTGCTTCCGGGTTTCCCATAATGGTCTAGCTTCAAGTGACTCATGATCTCAACTATTAAAATTATTATTATATTCACAAAACCCTTTCTAATATTACAACTATATTATTTTATTTATGACAATCCACACAATGCTAAATTTATTCGGAATTATCAAGTCAAACCTTGGTCATGATACTTACTATGATTTTATTTAGAGCAGTTTGAAATTATTTCATATTAAGGCCTACGGGTTTAAGCCTACCCAACTTAGTTATCAGCAAGATTTACCCATTTATAAAATGTACTGTCATAAGTAATTCCAAGTTTTTACATCAAGCTGTCACTCACGTTTTAGAAACTAATTAAACGCTTGGAATAATTTGTGACTTATTTCTGTTATTGTTATTCCATTCTTATAACTGCGTCACAGGTGAAACATGGAAAACGCATCCTATTGAAGTTTTTCAGAAGAAGTTAAGCTCTAACATTAAAAAAACTAAGACGACTTCAAAGTCAGTCATGTAAGTTTTGCTATGCCTTTTTAATTTAATGATGGCGAGTAGGTGAAACGTAAGTGCAAGTATAAGAAACTCTAGATTTCAATGCACAGATAGTGGTAGAAAATGTAAGCGGTTTTTATAAGCATTGCGTAGATTATTGAATAGATCCCATTCCCGTCGTCGAATATTCATTGAATTTGCTCGCTACTTCAGTTGTAGAATAACATTTTTCTACAATGCAAAACAAACAAGTGAAAGCAACATTTACGTAGGATTCAGTATCAAAGAGGCGAATTCTCAAGTTCTTGTTATAAATAGACAAAAATATCATTTCTTTAGGTGTTAACTTCCATAAATCATAAAAAACGTAAATGTATTGTGTGAGTTACTTAAAGTAAATTATTTCACGCTTAGCATTGTTTTGTAAATGCTGCATTTAAGGATTACAGTTCTATAGCCAACCAGCATGACAGCGATGCTGCCTTCCCACAAGGAGACGTGTAGTTAGAATAGGTTGACGCTAAAAATTCATACTTTGCCTTATCCGATGGATATCTGTCTCTGGCGGTAAGACTTCAACAATTGCGGAGCTAAGACAAAAATTACTCACAAGAAGGTCGCGTGTGACCGACCTCAAGCAGTTGTTCTTCGGGCACAGCGATCACGCTCTTAGGTCACTAAGACCACCTCTCATCCAATTTCCTTTTCAGGTACCTCCAGAAGAACCCTTCCACAGTGTGAGCAACTGGGATGTGATAATCACTGTCAAACCTCTAGCAGCAATCAAGACTTTTACTTTTATTTTCTGCCAACACCATGAATTAAGTTTTGAGGCCTTCTTAATTATATCGATAGAATCCAATAATTAGGCTAAATTCATTTCGTTTGTATTATAGATCTTGTCAATTCGCTGATTTTAGCTCATAAATGTCAACCTGTTAGGTCGCATGGGAACAAATAAAAGACGCGAACAGACAACAGCATCTATTAGGGAAGTCAGTCAGTAACAACGTAGAACTTAGTACGTACGTACATCAGTTCGAGTTGCCATACCACATTAGCACAGAGATGCAGTGGTCGATTCAAATCCCGTAGTGGTAGAGGTAGCAAGAGTATAAGCAGTAATCGGGAATATTAGGGTTTGGAGATGTTATTTAACGAGTATAATCCAGTGAAATAAATTTGGAAAGAGGAAAAAAAGGGGCATGAAGAATTCAGATAATTAGAATTTGGGAGAACATAGAGAGTGGATGCACCTGCGCCATTGCAAACGATTTTGAGCCATGTCATTCAGGGTCTCTAACCATCGGTTGCTATCATCTCGCGGTCCCCAACCAGGTAGTCTACACCTACCAACATGACTCAGTCCACTTGTCAGTGACTTCATGGATTTGTGCCATGTTTTGGTCTGGCCGCCCCTAGCTTTCTTCCAACCTACTCCTATACCACTGAATATAGCACGTCGAGGTAGTCGGTGGTTGGGCATACGTAACACGTGTCCCAGCCATCTCAACTGATGAAGTTTCACTACTTCATCAATTGATTTGCCATCCTTACCTAGTACCCGTTTCCTAACAGTTGCGTTACTTACTCGGTGGTCCCAGGATATACGAGCAATACTTCGAAGACACCTATGATCAAATACTAGTAACCTACGAATATCCTCTACTCTTACCGGCCATGTTTCACAGCCATAAAGTAGGACGGAACGAACTGCTGCGCAGTAAACCCGTCCTTTGGTTGGTAGACGGATATCTCGCCTACGCCATAAATGACGCAAGTTGGCAAAAGCTAGTCGAGCCTTCTGTATCCGTGCTGAGATTTCGTCACACACCAGACCACAAGGGCTGATGAGACTTCCAAGATAAGTGAAGCGGTCGACACACTCAACTACTTCACTCCCTATCACTAGTTCGGGTGTCGATGTAACCCAATCCTGAAGCAACATTTTGCATTTCGAGGGAGAGAATCGCATCCCGAACATGCTTGCATTGTTGCTTAGAGTGGTCAGAAGACTCTGCATTTTGTCAGCGTCTTCACCAAATAAAACTATGTCATCTGCATATTCTAAGTCAACAAGTGAACCTCCCGGTAGAAGTTCAACCCCCGGAAATTTAGATGAGGAGAGTGTTATCTCTAAAAGTACGTCGACCACAAAGTTGAACAAGAATGGGGAGAGTGGACAGCCCTGACGAACACCACTTGAGGTAATCAATTCTGATGACAGTTCGCCATAAGCTCTCACTCTACCAGTTGTGTTCGAGTAGAGAGCCTTTATAAGGTTAATGTACTTCTTTGGTACTCCTTTCAGTGACAAACACTGCCATAGAACCTTACGATCAACAGAGTCGAATGCCGCCTTAAGGTCGAGAAATACTACCATTGTGGGGCGTCTAAACGTGTGTCTGTGTTCTAGAACCTGACGTAGTGTGAATATCTGATCTATACAACCACGTCCAGGTCGAAAACCAGCCTGATTTTCTCGAGTCTGCTCTTCACGAGCTTTGATTAGGCGTCGAAGTATTATTGAAGCTAATATTTTAGACACTATATTAGTCAAACTGATTCCTCTGTGATTGTCACAAGAGGACTTTTGTCCTTTCTTATAAACTGGCACAATCAGTGATTGAGACCAGTCAGATGGGATTACGTCCAGTTCCCAAATTCTACCTAAGACCTCGGTTAATCTCATTGCTAATACTGGACCACCATCCTTAAAAATCTCAGGAGTAAACCTGTCAGGGCCTGCTGCTCTCCCTCGTTTCAGATTTCCTATGGCTTTTTCAACTTCATAAAGAGACGGAGGACCTACATTAACTTGCCATTCAGGTTGACTGGAGATCGTGGGAAACCGAAGTGTGGCTGAAGGCCAGTTGAACTGATCCCTAAAGTGTTCTGCCCATCGATCCAATCTCCTGGATTGAGAATGAATAATATGTCCATCTTTCTCTGAGATTATTTCGCTAACGGTCGGGTTCCTAATTCCGGTTTCCTTAACGAGTCTGAACAATTGTCTGCTATTACCTATTGCCGTTGCCTTTTCCATCTCTCTTGCTTTCGCTACCCACCACTGTTCGTGATCACTGCGTAGACTTCTTGTTAGTTTGCGCCTAAGCTGACTCCGCTCTTCACTATGTTCAGAGCCAGATGGAATGAGTTTCCGAGCATCTATCAGTGCGATAGATGCTGCTGAGATCCAGTGTTGCTCCCTAACCTTCTGGTTTACCTTACTAACAGATATCACTGCTGTTTCCACAGCTTTTCGGACATCATTCCATGCTGCCTCGGGGTGGGCATCACATACATGGCTGCCTAACTGTTTTCCTAGTCGTTCCTGAAATATACTCTTAGCTTGACTATCATTAAGTAGGCCCCTAAGAGGTTTCCTTGCAGCGGTTTTCCTACGTCCAGTAAGACGCAGGCAAATACGCGCTCGTACTAGAGCATGATCTGAATCTAGGCATGTGCTCCAGAATGAGCGACAGTCTTCTATCGAGCCCCTCCATCGGTGGCTGATAGCGATGTGATCTATTTGGGTCCAACGTTGGGACGAATTCGGGGGTCGCCATGTTAAAAGATGTTTTTCCTTATGCTTAAAGTTAGTATTTGCAAGGAACAGGCGATTATCTGAGCATAGCTGCAACAGACGGTCGCCATTATCTGTTCTTTGAGCCACTATACTATAAGATCCACCCAGGTGTCTTTCCCTATCGCTTAGTTTACCTACTTGAGCATTAAAGTCACCGGCCACTATTACTACATCCGAGCGCTTAGCTTTTCGGAGAAGGTCCGAAAGCTTTCTGTAAAACTCATCTTTTACATCATCTGAGCTGCAGTCAGTGGGAGAATAGGCAGAGACGACGAAGAGGCAACGACGAGTGTCCCTATCTTTCCGGATTCTTACTGTTCCGTTCAGTCAGACAGCGCACAAACGACTGTCTACTGGGATCCACTCTAAGAGAGCTAGTTCTGCCCTTGGACTCAATGCTATACCTACGCCGGCGAGGCCACGGGAAGCAGAATCAGGGCTTCCAGATACACGAAGCGTAAATCGAGTCGGTTCTTTATTTTGGCATGGTGAGGTCAAATGAATGATGCTACTTGGATCCTGTATGCGCGTTTCGGAGACGCAACACACATCGATGGCGCGAGATTCTAAAGTCCTAGCTAAGGAAGCCTGCTGTCCTATTTGGCACAGTGTTCGGACGTTAAAAGCTCCTACGTGTAGTTTAGAGCGTGGTTTGAGGAGACCAGGAATAGAGTTCCACGTACTCGAATCGTTTGCCCTAGCGGTGCGAGGTGATAAAGAGACGTGAGGAGGGTTAGTCATGGAGATAAGAGAGGTATTAGAAGGTGTAGGAAGGATTTGAATGTGACCAACTTGGTCTCGCGTGCTGTTACGGGTATGAGGGCTGATGTCACTTCCCGGCTGCCCACACCGTGGAAGGGTATTTCTTGAGGAACCTGAAAAGGAAATTGGATTAGTGTTGGTCTTAACGACCTGGGAGCGTGACCGCAGAGCCCAAGGGACAACTGCTTGAGGCCGGTCGCGCACGGCCTTTTTGTAGAAGGTTTTTGACGTGTTAGCTCCGTTCTTCAGATGGCCTTACCGCCGGAGACGGAAATCCGTGAGGTAAGGTGAGGTGTGACATTTTTAGGGTCGACCTTTTCTAACCCCACCCCTCCTTGTGGGAAGGCAGCATCGCTGTCATGCTGATTGTCCGAAGGAAACACCTTACTGCCGTCACACCTCTGTACAGTCAGCAGTACGACTTCGCCCTCAGACTTTGAGTTGCTGCTTTTAGTCTTACCGTTCACCAATCGACCTGCCTGGCATGGTAGAACCTACAGGAACATATGTTCCAGCCAATATAGCTCGGATGGGTCATCACGATAGGCAAGCCCGACCACCACGTCAAGGTAGCAGCTTCGGTCGGGATCTATTAGGGAAATGCGGAGTTGGGGTATTTAGATGTTCTGAGATTGCTATGTAGTGGACTTAACCCTGTTAAATTCACTTAGATATCCATCTTTTATATTTTCTCTAAAATTAGGGAGTTTTATCGACGACAAGATGAACATATTCGTGAATTGGAGAAGATCGCAACTATTATGGAGGCAGAAACCTCCGATGTAGAAGTAACCTCCAATCATCATTCTATTAGGCGGCAAACGCGAATTAATACAATGATTATTAGTGTTGTATTTTGTGCCAACGTGGTAAGTATAATATCACTAATAATTAGTTTATGAACATTACTAAAACGGAAAGGAAGGAAATTTCATTCTAATGCAGAATGAACTATCCTTGGTAAATTCTAATAAGTTATTAATGCTCAGCGTTTACATGTTTTCATCTAGCTATTGTAACATAGGAAAATTATTTAGAATATATGATAAGTTTACAAACTAGTAAGTAATCTGACATCTGGTGTTTCGATTGATCTTAGTTCATCATCTGCAGATTTTGCATCTGCTTTATTACGTTCGCTTTAAGCAATACCCGTTTAATTGACGACTAATGATTTCAAATAACCAGTCATTCACAACGAACGCAAAATGTTAATTTCTTGTAATATAAGTTTAGTGGTTTACGGATCGTAAACATCAAATCGTTTTTTTCCATAGCATAAGTCTGATATAATTATCAGATGACTAAGATCAAAACAATCATTTGTTACCAAAGTGCCGTGTAAATTTGTTACAATTTCAGTGAATATAGGGAGATTAAGTTTACTTGTGTCTTGGATTAATCAATCAATTTTCTATGAGTTCATCCTCTTCAAAATGACGAACTAGTAAAAGCTCTTTTCTAATTTTTTACGCTAGACGTTTGGTTTTATTTTGATATAATTCCTACACTAATTTATTCTCCTTAAATTTTATGAATGTGACACTTCTTTCACCATGAAATCAATTTACATTTTATTCAGTGAAATTTTAAATGAAAAATATAATTTTCTAATAGTGTTATTATTTGTCTAACGATTTTACATTGTATGTATAAAAATAACTTGATAACTTTTGATTATCATATTGCCCATTTGGAATTACATCAATATAGGTACTTTTATTGGGTAAAGCTGTAGCATCTGCATTATCAGGGTCATTAGCAATCATATCATCTTTGTTAGATAGTTGTGTCGATTTGGCTTCCGGTGGTATCATGTGGTTTGCTGCTCGTCAAATGCGTAAAAGGAAGCCATACAAATACCCAGAAGGTAATTTGGTTTAAAAATATTTTAACTGATCATAAAATGATCTACGGTCTGTAGGCTGGTTAATTTAAACTGTTGTTACAGTTGTTTTAAATGGTCTTTTAAATACGACATGCAGTTGATTCCACTAACAGTATGAATGACTCTCAAAATATGAACTGGTGAATGATGTGTTGGAAGAATTCTGCACATTTTAAACATTTGTCAACATATAAATCTTCTGCGACTAAATTTGGCAATCTTTTAGCGTTCTCGTTTTTTGAATGTTGTTTTATACATCGATATTAATTCTCAAATCATCACTTCATCTAGTTATCGAACAAAAGTTGTGAATGTATTCGATTCTTAATTGAACACCATCATCTATTTGCTGTTAGTATCTATTTACAAGCCTTTACATAATTAGACTGATTACTTCCGAAACTACTGAAATGTTCAGATATAGTATGAAGAAAGAATAAGTAACACATCATAGTAATTTGCTTCTAAATTGTTTAAGAAAAAGTGTACATCTTTCGGTAACTAGTTACCAAATTTTAACAAAATGTAAAATCAAGTTATGAGTTCAGTCACCAGGAAGTTATAAACAGTGACATTCGATAACAAAAATTATCGCAGTCACATTGGAGTGAACGCGAACTCATGTGAGGTACACCAATTGAATGTCTAATTCAAACTTACAAAAAGCCTTCGAATAATATGAAAACGATACATTGAATACATTATTTGCACCTTTTCCAGTTGTTCTTGCTGTTTTCTTTAATTTAATTTCCTCAACCCGTTGCTGGCAGGCATCTCATTACCGATTGCTCCTACATGCTGCTTGTACCAGTAAGCGTAAGTAACATGCATCACAGCATGTTGGTAATCATATGTTCTCTCTATTCAACGTTGATAATGATAGGGTATGTGGCTGAATTGCCAGTCTTAGGTATTGAACTGTATGAGCTCTGAAATGGTTGAAAGTGAATTATCATCATCATCATTCAGCTATGTTGTTAAACCACATGATTGTAGTAATTACTAATTTCTAAGATACTTATTATTCATGCTTTACAGTTATTAAATTTACTGAAATATTTATCAATCATTTTTATTCTAATGTTAGGGTTTCGAAAACCATATAAAGGTGAAAGAGGAATAAGGTCTATAAAATGCTGTTATTTTATTTTCTTCTTAGGGAGAACACGACTTGAACCATTAGCAGTGATTGTACTCTCTGTATTTATGGGTAGTATATCTATACAACTTCTAGCTGAATCTGTACAAGCCATTGTTCGTATGTCACAAAATAATCAAGAGGCACCAAACGTTAGTGATTTAGCATTGGGAATAATGGCATCCGTAATTGGTAAGAATTATATTTAATGTTCATAAATTGTTTTCAAACTTCATTTGAAAAGCTGTGACCTAGACCCACAAAATACCTGTTGACTAGTAGTCAATATTTCATTCACTTTACCTATTGTCAATTTAATTGTCTTATATAACATAAGAAATATAATCAGAGAGTTGAACGTATCCACTAAGTCTCTTTTGTCATTTTTACCTGTTAATTTGTAATGGCAGAAGCATTCATGTTGCAAGAGTATAGAGGGTCTTCACTGAGAACTTATGTAGACACATAACAAGTAATTCGATGGCAAATAATCCCAGAATTCCCAGTAGTAACACAGACAGATATCTCAATAAAATTCAACATGTAGTAAACCTCAGTACAACATTGGGAGTAATAAATACTCGGTACAACGACAGATTTCTACATAAACAAAAGCAGTACTTCTTTTTACTCAATCATGTACTGTTAGTATTATCACTATTATACTGATTAGTTAACTATTTTTTGAAGTCACTATATCATATCATTTTTTATTCCCTACTAATAATAATAATTCCCATTTGTTTATACACTATTCCTCTGTCGATTGAGCTTATACGAATTTACAAAATATTGTAGTTAGTTTTCTGTGTTAACCTGAATTATTTTATGAACATTGTACACAAAATCACATTCATAAAACACTTTGTCTATAAAAGTTAATAACTATGCGAACTATTTAAAATGCATGAAATGTAATGAATTTCCACTGTGTCATTGAAGAAGAAATATAGCCAATGTATCAAAGTAACTCTGTTTTGTGGCGATATTACTTACTGAAGCTGTGTAATCATATTTGTAGTTCATCAGTAAATTATATTAGTATACTTCGTTCACAAAGAGAGCTCTTTATAATTTCATTTTCGAGCATTACTCTGGTCGGTTATCAAAGGGACTATTCCGAATTACTAATGAGCTATTATCAAATGTAATTATTCTGGTTTTCATATTCATCAAATGCAGAGTCATCTCTCTCCAATAAAATATTCTTATGTTAACATTTTTCATTAGCCGTTACATCGTTGCACAACTTCATTTTGTATTTAATGTTTATCAACAATTTATCACTCAATACTAACCAATGTTTACAATTTTTTTATGTTCTTCAAGTTAACAATTATCTTTTATCAGTAATCTATTTTTACTTTGATCTGTTACATACTATTTTTATACTTCAGAAAACCATATATACATAGCTTACAAAATATTCAAGTAATCAGGAATCGAATGTAATTATGGATGGTCAACGTGTGCGTATGAACAAATATTAAGGGAATGAAATAGGACAGTACGATGGTTATACATAAGTTCATGACCTTTTGAAATGGGTGTATATATCGCTCAATTTCTTAAATGATTGCAGTAGACTAGCGGGATTTCTCCTACATTTTATTGTAGACAACTAATAATCACTGACAAATCAGTTAATCACCTACTGACGTTTTAACTACATACTGCTTACCTTACGATTGATTCTATCCTCCAGTTTATAAAACGTTCAATAATCCCCAACTCCATGCCTTTATTATTTGAAATTAAGAGTTGTATTTCTCTGGAGAAATAATTGATAAAGTTAGTCTATCTCTTTGCTTTACTACTTAATTAACTGATTGAATGATAAATTTATTGGCCCTTTTCACATTTATTATCATTTATAGTGACTAAACTAATATTATGGATCATTTGTATTAAATTTGGTGGTGGAATGGCTATCGATGCGCTTAAAACTGATCAACGTAATGATATACTTACAAATGCTGCATCAATTTTATTTAGTGGTCTTGCTGGACGTTTACGTAAGAGTTTCTACTGTTTCACTATTTTCTAATAACATTTCAAACTCATCATTATTTCTATAAATAAAATTGATATCCACACTCCAGAAGATTGGATGAACATGTGTTACGTTGGATGCTATCTCAGTGGTCTAGGAGGTCGAAAGTTCTGAGTTCAATTTCTAGATAGGGAGTAGTGGGTGCGCATTGATGAGGAACCGCATGCTAGGGCGAAACGGCTGCCTAGACCTTCGAAGGTTTTTATGATGGTTAGATGAATTTGTGGGAATATGGTTTTATCTGCTGTGTTGTTGATTGCTCTGCTTAAATTTACTGCATCTAGTAACTGTTGTAAGAGAGCGACCAGTCATTGGTTCACAATTGTTTAAATAAGTCACTATTCCGTAGAAACAAGCTAGTTCTTGAGGTCAGAAATCTAAGCCAATATTTATGCTTTAATACAATACCACAGTCCTTCAGCAAAAAGTTAATTGCTTCCAGGTAATGCCTCACAGCATTATTAACATTGTAAGAAATTCCCTTTGAGAACAATTTATAAACAACATCTCAAATAATTTAACGTTAAATATCCATCCACCACATGTATCATGATTTTCTGAATCAACCTGATCATGTCTTTATATGGTTATGGATATCAAGCCTGTGGCTTGTTTAATGAGCTGTGACTTTTTATTGATATTGTTGTCCCGACCGAAGCTGCTACCTTGATGCGGTGCTCGGGCTTGCCTATCGTGATGACCCAACCGAGCTATATTGTCTGGAACATATGTTCCTGTAGGTTTTACCATGCCAGGCAGGTCGATTGGAGAACGGTAAAACTAAAAGCAGCAAATCAAGGTCTGAGAGCGAAGTCCTACTGCTAACTGTGGAAGGGTGAGACAGCAGTAAGGTGATTCCCTCGGACAACCAGCATCTGCAGCGATGCTGCCTTCCCACAAGGAGGGATGGGGTTGTAAGAAATACCCTCTGAAAACAATTTATAAATAACATCTCAAATAATTTAACGTTAAATATCCATCCACCACATGTATCATGATTTTCTGAATCAACCTCATCATGTTTGTATATGGTTATGGATACCAAGCCTGTAGCTTGTTTCAAGAGCTATGACTTTTTATTGGTATTGTTGTACAAAGTCTTTTTAATCGTGTGCTTTCTCTATGATTCCTAACTAATATAAACTATGAAGAATTAAACAGTCACTAAGACCTAGTTTTGAGATTTTTACCATTTATAAACTTCTCACTCGGCATTCGCGAATCCATCACAAAAGTCAAAATCACTCATATCTGATAAATATTTGTCAGTTTATTCAAGGAAATTCTTTATAATATCTAGCAACAATTGTCTGTTCGGACAAATTGATGATTACTGCGAGTTTCATGTGAAATTTATGTTCAGCGATGTCGTTAATTATTAAGGAATAGTAATTCCATGATTCTATTTACTCAGTTCTAATCACTGTAAAATAAATGAACAACATTCATTACAGCTCCTTTACTACGACAAAGTAAGTTTTTATTATTGATGCTGGGGCTTGTTTTGCCAAGCTTATATATATATATATATATATATATATATATATATATATATATATATATATATATATATATATATATATATATATATATATATATATATATATATATATATATATCACTATTTTCCTCATCGTATCTTCATTGCATTGTCATGTTCTAATTTTCACTTGCTCATTTCCGCACGACATCCAGTTTTACCGTTATGATATTTGTCATAGATTTGTTTATATTTGTGGTGCTACCAATAATAATAATAAATTATGATTGTTGTTACTCTCTGTATTAATAATTCATCTATTTTTATAAATTAGTTTTTTACTAAAATAGTTTCTTTTGACATGCTATCGACTTTATTTGTGAATTATTATCATCACTATGTTCGTCCTTATTTACGTATTGTTTCTAATGGTATATTATAATGCTGGATGTATCTATTAACAAAATGTCAATAAAGTTTATACCTTATATGAAATGGAATATTATTCAATTGATATGATCTGGATATCTGTAAGCTGTTTTATCAAGTCTATACGAGTGGAAATATTTAAGATTTGTACGGTAAAAACTATCATCAATAAAAAAACTCAGGTGTGACCTCTGATTTCCTATTTATTAGTAAGAACACTGTAACTACGATCTAGGTGAGTTGATTAGACACAGACCAACAATGTTACTGAACAAGTTGAGTTACATGTGTATTACTGAATCACTTACACCTCATTATCAAAAGAAAAATCTGTTTTCAAATATTTACAATTACATTTTTATAAGTACACGGTGCAAATTTAGGAATTTTTTGAAAATTAGTCAAATAGATTATCTTCAAACAATTCTATCACAATGTCAGTATTGTATAACCTGTTCACTCGAACTTCATCATTATGGATAACCAGAAATAAAACCAATGATAACCATGAAGAAATATTTTTATTTAATTCAAACTATTACTGTTTTGAATTTGACCATGTTTTCAATTATAATCGTTTATATAGTAGATTTGTGAATGTTTTCACTTTCATTGAAATCATCAATTTTTTTATGAATCTCATCAAGTTATCTGTTTCTTTGATACTTTATATGATTAATATATATTCTGTGTTGAAATATACTTAATCTATTTCTGATAAAGATGTATAAACTGCCTGTAACAGTCATCATGAATTTGTTAAAAACAAAAGTATTTACCTTTAAAAACGATTTCTCATCTTTTCTGTCATTCCTATAATACATATGTCTAATAAGGCTTATGAGTTTATGTTACAGTGAAAATTTGTATGAATTGAGGGATTCTTGTTTTACTGATATTTGAATTACAACTAAGCTTCTATTGATATTGAAATCTGAATTCGTTTGTCAATAATATAATAATTAATATGATCTTATGTAACTGAAACCCTTGTCTGCTTCTAGTTTTATTTTTCAAATTTGTAGCCAATCAATAGAATGTTATATTTATGAACATTATCATTCTCACTGATCAAGGTGTTTAATTTTTATGTCATTATAACAATAAGACATATTTGTTCGATTTTTAAAAGAAAGCAATTGGATGAGGTGTTAGAATGTGTAAGGTGGATAATTTGTTTATGCAACTTAACTTCAAAGTCTAACTAAATAACTTATTATGGAAAGAGCAACTGACCGATAAGCAGTATATTGGGGATATAAAACTATCATTTACGGTTTAATTGTTAGTGTTATGATCCAGTCTTCAGTATTAATCTAATTATGTAGATCTGTTTGTCTGTTCGGGGTGACCCTTGGTACACTATCGATTATATTTGCTATTGTCTAACAATATGTCCAATGGTTATCATTGTTTAATAGAAGCAACTTTAGACAATGTACGAACGACAACCTTTCCATAATACAATGTAATTACTGTACGTCGTTCGTTATCTAATCTTCAACTCCATACGTGTTAACGAGTTTAGTTGTTTGTAATTCTTAACATAATATTGAAATGAATTGTAAATTAGTAGTGAATAAGATGTTTAGAATACGAAAACCGAAATGCAAGTTGGACAGAACTTTTATGGTTGCTTGGATTGATACTTATCGAATATTTGTTACGTAATATAAAGCAATATTATAAGGAGCTTGGAGAAAAAGAATGTGTAAATTCAACTTACTAAACTATTACATGCGAATAGCATGAATTCATTTTAAGTAATCAGTTTATATAGAAAATGAACAAATAAAGGAATCATAAAATCCATATAATTTAGATCATAATTTACCATTGTTCGTTTTTATAAAAGAAATTTCTCATTTATTTACATCATTGTAAGTTAAATGTATTGACTTGACTAAATGAAAAAAGTTAAAACAAAAGCAACATTTAAAATAGTCTGACCTACTATTTCTAATAATTTTTAGTTGTAAGTAGGTTAATAAAAGTAAACTGATTGTGGTAGTTTGAATGTTAACATTTGATACAACCAAGTCACCATAAAAAGCTCTACGAAATGTATGATACGCTTTTTCCTGATTTTCTCTTCTATTCACTTCGTTTTTTTTTACTTTGTTACATTTATTTCAATACTGAACAACATGGTTGCCAATGACTACAAGTTAGTTCAATAGTGAAGATTTAGGAAAGAGAATATTCTGTAGACAGACACAAACTATTTATTAATCATATAATTTACTTAATGAACCAACGGATCACTAAATGAATTCATTGTTTCCTTCTTCTATTTGTTTAACACTTAATTATTTTATACAGTGAACATGATTTATATTCCTTGTTTTCAATAAAGAACAGTTTAAAGGGGTTTTCACAATTTTCATGAGTACAAAAACATTGGAAATTATTAATAAAATTGTATAACTTATGTGAATAAATTTAGATAATGTAGAATGAAGGCGAAGATTACTATACTATCGAAATTTATCAGAGGAGCTAATTGCTTTAAATTTGAATAAATTTAAATAATCGTTCGATTTGGTTTCACTTGAGTTTTATTTTTCTCCTAGAAATTATTTCATTGTCATGCAAATAATCACTGACCTTCAAAATGTATTTGAATATTAAAGTTGACTCGAAAATATTGATTTTTACACAGAAATTAAATTTGTGAAACAAACGTTGAAACATGGAAAATTTTTATATAAATTTTCATATGCTACTTTAAAACGCTCTTTTTAAGTAGATCACATGTATTTTTAAATCTTTCACCGCTTTTGGAATTAATAAAAATCTTGAATATGGCAGTGTGGGACACAGTGAGTTCGCTTGACGTATTTTCAAAAATCTTTAATCGGAACTAGTAAATTAAATATCGTAGGGATATAAAATGTAATTTATTGTATTACCGTTGCGACGTAACTCACATTTTATGTCATTGAATTGTATAAATCTGACGAAAGTATTTTTGTGGAAAAAGATCATTCTTTTATCCAATCGAAATGTTTCATAACAATCTAAAGATAGATCAACCGGAAATGTTGATGTCAGATATTGGCAAACAATATTTAAAGGACTCAAAAGGAAATTCTAAGTGAAATTTTAAATTATGAGCTTTAGTCACCGGGAAAACGTCAATAGATAATGGAATGAAAAGTTTGTACATTTTTTATCTGTTCAGTTTTTCATTTAAATTTAAAAATAAATTAATTAATTAGCATGTGAGCAGAGTTTCATTTTTAATGTAGACTGATCATGCATGTACTTAGTGTATTAATCCATCTGATATGAATGTGCATTTTCATTTTACAATGTTGTAATTGTTTCAACAACTCGTTGTTCATTATGAATTCATTTGGTCAAAGTAATTGATTGTTTTTACAATGTTATCTATTCATTAAAAATGCTACAAAGATCAATGTTTCACTGTACAATTATTTATATATGAACTGACTCGATTTATTCTCTTTTTCCTATTTATAGAACAATACGAAAATCTTAAGTATTTAGATCCCGTTGGAGCTATACTTATTGGTTCTTATATTTTGTGGTCTTGGTATCAACTTGGTGCTGGTAAGTTAACGATTCTTACAAAATATTATTTTCCATTCATATATAAAACTTTTAATAGAGTTTCGTTGTGCCTAGCACTAAGATCCAGGAGGCCAGACTCGTCCTATTTTGAATTCATCAGTTGGATACATATGCATACCAATCTTGATGTTCATGCCTTATGACTAAAACGCTCGACACCTTGTCCACTTAGCTACTTATTCCATTTACTTGTGATACTGTGTGTTCAAAGAGAAAGGCATCGGGTTGGAGTCTGTCTGTCAACACGTACATTGGGATACAGCTACATTCAATTCATGAATCTCAAACAGGACAAAACAAATGTTGTGCATTCTACCCCTGACCGATATCAAGCATTTCCGAAAATTGCTTTTGACCTAATGGAGATATTTAGGAGATTCTATCAGAATTTACTTTTGCCCAAAAAACCTAATTAATCTCAGTCGATATCAACTACAGGAAAATTCAAATGCTTATGGAGAAAACGTACAAGTTCTTTATTTGTAAAAGGATATGAGTATAGTTACTTTTGAGCTTGTCAAAAATCGCTTTTTCGTGACGTCCATTTATGCGTTTTTCTCCTCTCAAATATAAGGTTTTAAGCTGTTTTAATCTCTCGAAATATTCTAAATCCAAGTTTGTTTATCCTTGTAAACAAACATAAAATTATTAGGTAGCTATTTTTTATTCTTCAGATAGATTGGAATACTAAGATGCTTGAAATTTCTAACTAGATGAAATCTACTTTTTCTTGTGAAAACGGTATTACAAAATGCTTTGAATTACTTTCAATGACAAAACATTACTTACTATTTAGCTAAATTTTGACAATATATTCCACTAATATTAATTTGAATAAATAAATAAATAAATAATATATATATATATATATATATATATATATATATATATATATATATATATATATATATATATATATATTGGCTTCCTTAGAGGAACGTTAAACGTTTTATTCACTTGGTTGAACTTATTCATCATCTCATAATGTCTGGGTCTTGTAAACGGTTTTTATAAACAATGAATAGCAGAAAAATAAAGTACACAAAAACACTCGGGATAATAAACCAGTATTATCAGGGTAGGTTAAGGGTAAGAACAAATTGTTTTTGAACACATAAAGGGGATTCAGTTTCCGTATAGCCAAGGCTTCAATAAATCTTAGTATTACGCCCTTGAAGGCTTTTGTACAACACTACGAAGTCTGACTTGCTATCAACCTTATAACCAGTCTCAACCAAATGTCTCGCAATGGAGGAAGAATTCGGTCTATCACATGATCCTATTTGACCATCGGAATTCATTTGTTTCTGCAGCCATTTGCGTATGTGTCCCGTCGCCCTTGTTTGCAGGTCACAATTGCTCCTCCCTAAGTGCGTGTTTTCTCACATACATGTTAATTGATAAACACAATGAGATGCGACACAATCGCTTACGTGCTGTTTTGGTTTTCGGTGAAACATAGACCTTGTGTTTTCAATAATGACAAGTTGGGCTGCATAAAATGTTCTGTTGACGGTTAACTTAGGTCTCCGTTTCAACATGAGATTATTTGAGTCGCCTCTAACGTCAAGTGGCTTTTTAGATTCCATAAGTGGTTAGTGTATTGTTTTTGTGTACTTTATTGTTATTTGTTACTGCCTACCTTTAATCTGTTTAGTTGACCTCTTGCTTTTCATATAAAAATGTCCTAATAAGTATATATATGATCAGATTGTTCGAAATGTATTGCGCAAATATATCGCGTAGTTCCGATAATCTTAGTCTTCTGATTGCATTATCGAAATTTATCAAAGTGACTAACTGTTTTGAATAGAATAAACTTAATTTTTGTAAAGCGAGAGTAACAAAGATTGTGGGACGAAGTGAATTCGTTTCATGTTCAACACACGCATTGATTTAGATAAATAAACAAAACATTTCGGTAAATGTAATTTTGTGTGTAACATATATAAAGTCATTTAGTTCACTAGTGAGAAAATAATCGTAAATACTTTCTATATTCCTACAAGTTCAAATTATTGAACAAATGATAATGAACGGATTGATTGAAAGAAAGACCAAGATGTAATTGAGTAAAATAGATAGGTAAAAAACTGTTATGATGGTACTAGACAAAACAATGAAAGCTTTAGTAATTACCAAAATAATAATAATGAAGTGATCCCACTAATTGTGATAATAATCCTAATCATAACAATCACAATAATACTTTCATTGGTCGCTTTGGTGTAATTTTCATTTCTATTTATGGTTATTATAACTAGGCTTATGATTCTAACACTATTCAATAGATCCTTTGACCCCTTATGAAGACATAAATATTGAAACACTTTCGTTTTTTTCATACTCTCTTCAATTATGATTGTTATTATTAGGATTATTATCACCATTAGTGGGATCACTTCATTATTATTATTTTGGTAATTACTAAAGCTTTCATTGTTTTGTCTAGTACCATCATAACAGTTTTTTACCTATCTATTTTACTCAATTACATCTTGGTCTTTCTTTCAATCAATCCGTTCATTATCATTTGTTCAATACTTTGAACTTGTAAGAATATAGAAAGTATTTACGATTATTTTCTCACTAGTGAACTAAATGACTTTATATATATTACACACAAATATTCTAAATCGATGCGTATGAATTCACTTAGTAGGTAGCAATTTCCTATAGGTTTAATTCTGAGCTATTCTCTAGACCGTCGAATTCAGAGTCTTGGCTTGGCCAAAGTCAGAACAAGCAAGCTATTTGGCTAGATAAACTTTATCTGTTTCGAACAGTAGACAGAGAATAGGAAAAATGAGTCAACAAGCAAATATTGCTTTACAATGAACATTAAACTGTGGCTGGTTAATAAAGAGATACAGTCGTACAAGGTCAAAAGGAGTTAATGTGGTGGTGGGCGTTTCCCTTTATTATTGGTGGGTTCGTCTATCGATCACACTTTACACCACGTCCATTGTCCAGTGTCGTCGTCGCCGTCAGACAACCGGCTTGTTCCAGAAGGCATAGGCTTCGCATATCTCTGACAATTTCTTCGTTTGAATTTCTCAACTTTGCCGTGCGAACTCGTCCGTCCAGGCCATAGCTTACTTGCTCGACAATAGCCTTAGGCCATAGACCTCTATTCATTTCGACGTTACTAACGAGGACTAAGTCACCCGGTTGTAAGTTCTTGTGTACGTCCAACCATTTGTCTCTTGTTTGGAGAGTCGGTAAATATTCTTTTATCCATCTATTCCAGAATGCGGTGGTTAGTCTTTGAGCTTCTTTCCATCTTTTGTTGTATAATAACTTCTTATCCACCGAAGCATCGTCGAATGATAATTTTTTATGAATCAACAACAACTTGTTCGGAGTATGAGCTTCTAGGGTACCAGGGTCATCTGTCAACTTAACCAGAGGTCTGTCATTCAGTATTCATTCCGCCTCAGTTAAGAAGGTTTGCAGAGTTTCATCGGTCAACACGTTTTGGAATAAAAGCACTCTTAAGGTTCTTCTAATTGATCTTATGATGCGTTCCCACACACCACCTCGATGACTTGCCCTAGGTGGGTTAAAATGCCACTCACATTCTCGTTCTTTAAGGTGGTTTTCTATTTTATTAGTATTCCAGGAACGTATAATCTGTCTCAAACTGGCATCTGCACCTCGGAAGTTTGTGCCGTTATCACTAAAAATACGCTTTAGACATCCTCTTCTGGCAATAAATCTTGATAATGCGCATAGAAATGAATCCGTATCTAAAGAGTAGGCCATTTCGATGTGAACAGCTCTAATAGATAAGCAGGTGAATAAACTGCCATAACGTTTCTCGACAACTGTACCTCGTTTGGCATAGAATAGTCAGAAGTAATCCACACCTAATTGACTAAAGGCTGGCGAATGAGTGTCTACTCGGTATTCCGGCAACGGTGCCATTAATTGGGAACATGGTTTAGGGTAAAGTCTTCTACATAAATAGCATCGTTTTAGAACCTTCCAAACGGTAGAATATCCTCTAACAATCCAATACTCCTCAAAAATACTACTCAGAGTTTGAGTAACTTCAACATGTGCGTTAATCACATGATAACGCATTACAATCATATCTGTAACAAAATGATTATTAGGAAGAATAATCGGATATTTGGTTTCAAAGGGTAAACATGATAACTGCGAACGTCCTCACACGCGGATCTTGCCTTCTAACATAAAAGGGTTGAGATTTCTTATAGAACTTTGACGAATTAATTTTTTTCTCCTGTTCACCTCGTCCATTGCTTCTTGATCTTTTTGCTGTCTAGAAGCGTTTTCTCTGAGCGTCAACGGTGAGCTGTTTAGAATTCCTTTTTCGGCCGGGTACGTGATACTTTGGACTAGTTTAATTATGTCACTCTTCGAATTTTCGATATCATCAGCACTTAGCGCACCTAAGGTTAGACGATTTCCGTTCCTCTTGTTTAACATATTATTGATAAGCCGTCTGCAGTATGAAAATACAATTAGAAGTCTGGACCACGACTTGCACGTACGAAGTCGATCTAGGAACTCATCATCGTGTCTTGGGAGTCCGAAATCCTTTGTCAATACATGGGCTATAGTGTTCTCGATCTTTTCTAGGTTGGGCCACTTATTTTCTTCCTCCCACAAGAATCTCGGCCCTTGTCACCACTCTCTTACCTTAGCCTTATCATTTAGTGATAATCCACGAGCCGCGTGATCTGCAGGATTCAATTTACCTTTCACATATCTCCATTGCCTCGGCGTAGACAACTCATGTATAGTTTCTAACCTGTTACTCACAAACTTTTCAAATCTTTTAGTCGTATTTTTTATACAATGAAACACAACTGTCGAATCGATCCAATAAATGACTGACGAAATGGGGATACTTAACTGTTCCCTTACGTGCCTTCCAATCTTAGCACACAGAACGCAGGCCGTTAATTCCATTCTGGGTATAGTAACAAGTTTTAGAGGAGCAACCCTAG